ATATATATATATACACATATATATTCAAACATACATAAATATTTGTAAACATACATAATTTTATATGAAATATATTCATACATGTTTATATATCCTTCTTTCTTTTGTAAAATTACTTTTTAGTGTAATAAAAATGACAATAGTAAAAACATTAAAAATAATTAAAAGGGTAGTGCTCATAATTATTTAGTTTAGAAAAAATCAAATTTGAAGAAATGTAAAAAAATTACTTATGTATAAATTATATATAAAATTATGTATAATTGTGTATGAACAATTTTTTTTAAATATTTTTCCAAACTTGTTTTTTTTTCTAAAATGAACAATGCGAAAATGATCCCTTTAATTATTTTTAATGTTTTCACATTGCTATTGTTATTACATTAAAAAGTAATTTTATAAAAGAAAGAGGGATGTATGAATACGTACATACATATGGACATATTTCATATATGATTATACGTGTTTATGAATATTTATGTATGTTTATACATATTTATACATATTAATGAAAACTTTTGTATGAAAAACTTTTTACTGAGAAATGATTTCTCTAATTTCTATTTATAAAAGTATTGAGGTAAAAATATAAAAAACCAATAGTTTACGAGATATTTAATATTTCATGTGCCAAAATAATGTATAAAATATCTAGTAAACTATGTATTTTTACTTTAATATTTTTATATGCAGAATAATTAGAGGATATTTAATATATGTGTTAAGTATAAATACATTATTAATTTTGAAATCTATCATTGTTTATTATATAGAAACAAAATGAGTTTTTGCAAATTTAAATATTCTAATATTTTTAGAAGATTCCCAAGTTTTTCTCGATAAATAAGCTTCCTTTTTTATAAATATATAGACTTTCAAAATGATAAATGCAGAGGTTTTAAAGATATCCATTTACGGCCAAAATTGACTATTTTTTTAGACTTCCTCCTTTTACACAAATATTTTATCGTTTCTCATAGCATATATAGTAGTATGTATATATAGTAGTGGTATATATATATATATATATATATATATATATGATGTTATAAACGTATGTAGGCATATACATATTAAAAAAAATTTTTAATGATAAAAAAAATTTTATATGATTTTATTGATAGTTTAAATTTTGACAGTATCAGCTTTGTCGTAATAATTGCTAATAATTTGCGATTAAATTTCACGAGGTATCGTAATGAAAATGTTTAAAAAAATTTTCACTTTCAAATCTTGATATAAACTTAACAAGTTCACCGCATCGTATTTAATTATCTACGTATATAATCTTGTTGGATAATAAAAATTCAGAATCAACGAGCCATCGATGGAGCGTTATGAAAGGGCTAAATATAAATCAAGGATTTACAAGCCAAGGATTCGAAGAGAAAGTCTTTTTGCCACACGTGAGAAAATTTATAATTTAAGAAAATACTAGTCATTATCGATCAAAAGTACGGGAATTGTCTCAAATGTACATTTTCTCTCCTACATTTTTTTCCAATTAGATAATAGATATATAATTCTATTGCGTTTGGAATATTACACCAAAGGTGTGAACGGAATTACATTTGTGACGTTCTAGAAAGGTAAGAGATAATCGAAGCGTAACGCCCGCTTCAGTTCATGAACTAAGTCATGATTTCAATGTAAATGTCAGCACGTGTACAATGTTACATAATTATGTATAAAAAATTATAGCATATAAACATTTTTCCATTAGTTAATTAGTATTACCTGACAGGTCGTTTTCATTAAGATGTTTTTCAATTTGAGGCGGTCTTAGCTTCCTATTTCAATGTTACTGGTTTCATTATCTTTATTTAGTTTGGCGTTCGAAAATAATATAACATCATCATAAATATATATTTATTTAAATTTTAGTTATTTATAAAATGTATACAAAAAGAATTATCGTATTTTTTATCTGAATATATTTTATCTTGCTCGCAAGAGATTCTCTCTTTCTCATAAATTATATGTAAACTCTCTCTTCCGAAGATAATTAAAAATTTTATAATATTTCGTAATATTTATATAATTTATATAATTTTATAATATTTATATAATATTTGCTACGTCGTATAAATCGCGAATCTACTTATTACGCTATATCATTTACTTACACGTAAATGGAATTACTACAATTTACATAAAATACCTTCAAAACATTTTATCAAGAAAATTGAATAAAAGACAAAAGATTAATCAGATTATTCTTATTTTATGTTGTTTGTAATATTATATATTTGTTGATACAGTTATTATTATTTTATTTTCAAAAGATACTAAGAATTTTTTGTTCTTTATGCAGTAACGGCTATATTACACAATTTTTACTTTAAATCTCGCTAACAACTGACATAATTTAAAAAATTAAAGTTGACATAATATCTTTTTATTAGTAAGAAAAATATTTAAATATAAGTTGTTACTTAAGCTGCAAGTTTTTTAGCTTTTAATTGCTAATTTTTTAACTCATAACAATTAATACTTTAGCTGCTATTAAAAAAACATCAGGTAAATCTTGCTTAAATGTGTTATAATAAGTCTTTTGATATATAATAATATGTATGTAGAAGAAATTTCTATTCAAGAAGAAGTTTCTGCTCTCAGACGTGGCGCACGCATTTTTCTGAAATGTGCTAATTTTCTTTTGTTTCTAGCGGCGTTCGCCTTCGCCTCATTCGCAGCAGCATTGGCTTTGGCTACTGCGCGATTTATATTCATAAGATCTTGCCGAGCACTTTGCAATTGATTTGATAGATCACCCACTCGTCTCTTGGCTGCTTCCAGCAACTCTGCTTTTTCTCGCAGCGATCTCTGTGCCCCATTTGCAACTGCCTGCGCATTTACCGCATTCGATTTGGCTGTCTGCACTGCGTTCATTAATGTCCTTAGCTACAGTTTTAAAAAAATTGTTAACATATCGAATTGTGACATACAGAATCAGTGCTTTAAAGAGCATAATCAAAACGTTTTATAAATTTGTACAATTATGTTTTTAATTAAACAGATTGCTAAAATTTATAAACTAATATGTATTAATATTAAAATCGCTATTAAGCCGATTTGCAGATAATGACCGATATAATAAGTCATATATTTTATCAGTTTCATCAAGCATTATATAGCAAATATTATTCATCAAGGTAAATAAATGATCATGTTAAATAAGATAATATTATAAAGAAATTTAAAAAATTAAGGCAAAGAATCTGAAGAGTTAAATAAGGCCAATGTCAAAATTCGAACACAAAGACTATTTAAATACACTTAAATAATTTAAATTGACAACAAAGTGAAAACTGTCACCGTTCATACTGATGTTACATATTATGTGCATTTAATTTGTATTGTGATTTATGTACCTTTATATATCTTGATTTTTACCTATTATGTACCTGATCTTGTGACTGCCGCGCCGCTTGCACTGCGACATTGACGTTAGCCTGCGCTTGTTGCAAGGAAGATGTTTCTTTTTGAATCGCCAATCTTGCTT